TTATATACAATTAGACTTGTTTGGCACGACAGACAAGCAAGGATAACCAGTTACTAATGTTATGACAGCCAAGCTGAAAGGCTAGACAGTGATTCCGTTCAGTATATGGCAAATATTCAGTATACTGACCGCTTCCCGACTTTACGTAGTTTTGTTCAACAGGCTTTATAATACAGATGTGTTTTATTAAACAAATAAATTCAGGATTCAGAACTTTTATTATATAATGACAATCTTTGACTAAACATAAAAATATAATTCTTATAAATATTTATACAAAAGTTAACTTAAGTCGAAGTTCGTTTCTGAATCGAATCGTTGTAGCAGAGAGACAGTCAAGTGACAGAAGACATGAGACAAAGAAGGACATTTTAAAATGGAGTTCCATAGGCAGCGGAGGGAGCAGATGGAGCAACATATCCGTTGCTGGCACCATTCCCATTCACACCGTTGCCATTGGCACCATTACCGTTACCGGCACCATTTCCATTGCCTAGGGATCCGTAACCATTGTTACCGTTGCTTCCATTGGCGCCATTTCCGTTTCTTCCGTTACCGTTGGCTCCATTAGCATATCCGTTGTTGGCACCATTCCCATTTACGCCGTTGCCATTGACACCATTACCGTTTACGGCACCATTTCCATTCTTTCCATTGCCGTTGGATCCGTAGCCATTATTACCGTTCCTTCCATTTCCATTAACGCCATTTCCGTTCCTTCCGTTTCCGTTGGCTCCGTTGCCATTTCCATAACTGCCACCGTTACCATTACCGTTGCTAATGCCGTTGGTGGCGGGACCATAACCATAGCCAACGTCGGGGACGACGCCGATGAGTTCGTTTACGGAGTAGAAGTTCTCAGCCTGGGAACAGTCAACGTTGAACCACCAGTCGCACACCAGGTACTGCTGGTTGAAGATGGTACCGTTGGGGCACAGGAAGGAGTCCTTCTGGCGTCTGACGGCGCGGTCCTGGCAAATGTGGAACACCTGGCAACGGGCCTCAGGGTCGGTATCGGCGTAATAGCCAGCCACTGCCTGGGCGTCACAGGAGAAGCCAGTGTCTGGTGGAGAAGCCAAGACAGGGTAATCTTCCCCGGGGACGCCACCACCGGGGATGTTCTCCTGCAGAGCAACCAGCTCGGCATCTAGTCCATAGGAACCTGTCGGGGGACCGTACCTGTTACTTGGGGGAGCTGAGTATCCATTGCTTGGGGCAGCTCCGAACCCGTTGCTTGAGGTTTGTCCAAACCCATTACCTGAGGCTGCACCATTTCCATTACTTACAGGTGTTCCGAAGCCATTGGTTCCGGGGGCTGTGTAACCATTGCTTGGGGCTCCATTAGAGGCTCCAAACCCATTACCAAAACCTCCATTTGGGGCTCCGTAACTATTTGAAGGTCGCTTGTCAGCGATGGACAATCCCAGCAGGGCTGTAAAAGACATACAAATTACTTAAATAGTTTTAAATGGCAAATAGTCTTACGAAATTAACTCACCAACCCAAAAATTAATATCTCTCTCTACATGAGAGAGATATGCAAGAATTAATTATCAGTGCAAAGAAGTTATACTTTACTTACCAACAAATAGTAGAACCTTCATAGTTGTCGGTCAGCAGACAAAGGATCTAGACAGATCAGTATAGAAGAGAGTCTGGTGGAATATGATGGTGGAACACGGTAGTCGAGCCTTTATACCCAAATGCTCACCAAGCTCCGCCCACCCAAAGTTATCTCCGCCCTTCCCTCGACCCGCTATAACCCTCCCCCTTCCCTCCCTCCCTTCCTCTCACTATTACTCCCCCATCTGAGGTTTGGAAGGTCACTCAACGAATGTGTGTGGATTACCTTGTTGGCTGGCTTCACAGATTAATATTTGTTGTATCCACTGAAGGTAACTAGTAAACCTTGTTACTCATTACCCTGTTATTACTAACCTCGTTTCCAATTCCATGGGATGGGAAGAAGCAGCTAAACTAGAAGATTGAAACTAAAACAGTTGGATCAAACAATGTATCATCGAGTATACTGAAAGAGGCAGCGCAGGCCATCAGCGTGCCTATAGCAAAGATCGTTAATGAATCACTTATGAAGAGAGAGTTGCCCAGTTACTGGTAGAAGCCCAGTGTGGTACCAATTATCAAGAAAGGAGATAGGGAAGAGGCACTTAAATACAGACCAGTATCACTGACAAATATTCCCTGCAAAGTACTTGAGAGAATAATCAGGATAAGACTGGTTACATTCAGAGAAAATTAGGTATGTAAATAAACATCAACATGGGTTCAGGGAAGGGAAATCATGCCTAACAAACCTTCTGGGATTCTATGACAGAATAACAAGAATGAGGCAGGACAGAGAAGGATATGCAGACTGCATATTTCTGGACTGCCAAAAAGCTTTTGATTCAGTACCGCACAGGAGACTGCTATACAAAATTGAGAGGCAGGCGGGAGTAAGCGGAAAGGTTTTAGCATGGGTAAGGAACTACCTAACACGAAGGAACCAGAGAGTAACGATAAAGGGTGAAAAGTCGGACTGGCAAATCGTAACGAGTGTAGTACCTCAAGGATCGGTGCTGGGACCAGTTCTATTTCTAATATACGTAAATGACATATCTACAGGAGTAGAGTCCTATATGTTGATGTTCGCGATGACGCAAAATTAATGAGAAGTGCTGTGACAGATGAGGATTTTAGGATCCTCCAAGAGGACTTGAACAGGTTGCAGAGATGGTAAGAGAAATGGCTACTAGCGCTCAACACGAGCAAATGTAAGTTTATGGAAATGGGATTAGGTGACAGGAGATCATAGGGACAGTACACAATGAAGGGAAACTACTTACCTGTGAATATTCGAGAAAGAGGTTTGCGAGTGGACGTAACACCTAATCTAACTCCTGAGGCACATATAAATAGGATAACGACAGCAGCGTACTCTACACTGGCAAAAGTTATATTGTCGTCCAGAAACCTAAGTAAGAAGGCATTTAGGGTGCTTTTCACTGCCTATGTGAGACCAGTCTTGAAGTATGCCGCCCCATCATGGAGTCCCCACTGAAGAAACACATAAGGAAACTGGAAAAGGTTCAGAAGTTTGCGACGAGGCTCGTCCCAGAGTTACGAGGGATGGGATATGAAGAGCGCCTGAAGGAACTGAATCTTACGACACTAGAAAAAAGAAGGGAGAGGGGGAAATGATAGGAACGTATAAAATACTCAGGGGAATTGACAAAGTGGAAATAGATGAAATGTTCACACGTAGTATTAACAGAACGAGGGGACATGGGTGGAAGCTGGAAACTCAGATGAGTCACAGAGATGTTAGGAAGTTTTCTTTTAGCGTGATAGGGGAAAATGGCGTGCACTTAAGGAGCAGATGGTGGAAGCAAACTCTATTCATAATTTTAAAACTAGATATTACAGAGAATTGGGACAGGAATCATTGCTGTAAACAACCGATGGCTAGAAAGACGGGATCCAAGAGTCAATGCTCGATCCTGTAGGCACAAATAGGTGAGTACACATACACACATACTTTCCCACACCTATTCACACTCACACCTACTCTCTCCCACACCAACTAGCACCCACATTCACAGCCCAACCATTTAGACTGGACAATAAAGTGACGGTCTCGCTTCATGCAGCTCGGCGTTCAATCCCCGACCGTCCAAGTGGTTGGGCACCATTCCATCCCCCTGTTCCATCCCAAATCCTTACTTTGATCTCTTCCACCTGCTATATAGTTGTAATGGTTTGGCGCTTTCTCCTGATAATTCCCTTCCCTTCCACTCACCCACATCTACTCATACCAACAATACTCTCACTTCATCCACACCTACTTTCACCCACAACAACTGCCACTCGCCCACTCAGACACATGAACGTTATTTTAAATAAAGGTTTTTCTGTATTACACCATTTTGTCATATGTGTTACCGTAATCCATTTGTTTCCATATTTTATTATGCTTATATAAGTCCTCTATATATAACACACCGTTTTCCAGAAACGTAACTACAGTTTTAGTCGATTATAGTTATAGTCGATAAGAGTCGACTATATATAATTGTCAACATATATTTACTTACAAATATATATTTTGTCACTGCCTTGAGAAATCGTGGGATTGAACTCGGATCTATAAAATACGAGGCTGATGCCATCCAACCTTGCCAGGACGCTCACAGTAAGGAGGGACTCAGAAGGGCGCTCTTCCTTCTTGCAGACTCTATGTATTCTTCTGTGTACAATAAGTCTTATTTCGTGTGACGGGTGTTGTTTTATTCACATTAAGTCATGATGTGTTCAGTTGAGTCTTGATATTTTATTCTCTGCAACATTGTTAACCTACAACTGGTCTTGTTTTAAGACTGTTATTGGTGTACATATTCAAGTTGTCCATATACACATCTTCATTATTGGATTTATGTATTAACTTGACCTTATATTGGATACACTTGACATTGTATAGGATACACTTGAGTTTGTATTGGTTACACTTGATCTCGTAATTGATACACTTGATCTTGTAATTGATACACTTGACTTAGTATTGTGTTCACTTGACATTGTATTAGAAAAATGTAATCTAAGAATACATTTATGCATTAACAATTTTTTTTACTCACTTGACCAAGTGTTTGATATATGTAATCTTGAATATTATACCTTAAACAGTATTTTAAATTCAATTTCATTTTCTTTTTTCAACACTTGACCTTGCTTTGCATGAAGTTCACCTTGTTATGGATAAAACAATCCTTGCATGACATACACTTTAGTTACACTTCATTTGTATATATACAATTAGACTTGTTTGGCAGGACAGACAAGCAAGGATAACCAGTTACTAGTGTTATGACAGCCAAGCTGAAAGGCTAGACAATAACTCCGTTCAGTATATGGCAAATATTCAGTATACTGACCGCTTCCCGACTATATGTAGTTTTGTTCAACAGGCTTTATAATACAGATGTGTTTTATTAAAAAATAAATTCAGGATTCAAAATTTTTATTATATAATTAATGACAATCTTTGACTAAACATAAAAATATAATTCTTATAAATATTTATACAAAAGTTAGCTTAAGTCGACGTTCGTTTCTGAGTCGAATCGTTGTAGCAGAGAGAAAGTCAAGTGACAGAAGACATGAGACAAAGAAGGACATTTTAAAATGGAGTTCCATAGGCAGCGGAGGGAGCAGATGGAGCAACATATCCGTTGCTGGCACCATTCCCATTCACACCGTTGCCATTGGCACCATTACCGTTACCGGCACCATTTCCATTGGATCCGTAACCATTGTTACCGTTGCTTCCATTGGCGCCATTTCCGTTCCTTCCATTTGCGCCATTTCCGTTCCTTCCGTTTCCGTTGGCTCCATTGCCATTTCCATAACTGCCACCGTTACCATTACCGTTGCCAATGCCGTTGGTGGCGGGACCATAACCATAGCCAACGTCGGGGACGACGCCGATGAGTTCGTTGACGGAGTAGAAGTTCTCAGCCTGGGAACAGTCAACGTTGAACCACCAGTCGCACACCAGGTACTGCTGGTTGAAGATGGTACCGTTGGGGCACAGGAAGGAGTCCTTCTGGCGTCTGACGGCGCGGTCCTGGCAAATGTGGAACACCTGGCAACGGGCCTCAGGGTCGGTATCGGCGTAATAGCCAGCCACTGCCTGGGCATCACAGGAGAAGCCAGTGTCTGGAGGAGAAGCCAAGACAGGGTAATCTTCCCCGGGGACGCCACCACCGGGGATGTTCTCCTGCAGAGCAACCAGCTCGGCATCTAGTCCATAGGAACCTGTCGGGGGACCGTACCTGTTACTTGGGGGAGCTGAGTATCCATTGCTTGGGGCGGCTCCGAACCCGTTGCTTGAAGTTTGTCCAAATCCATTACTTACGGAAGCTCCATTTCCATTACTTGTAGGTGCTCCAAAGCCATTGGTTCCTGGAGCTGTGTATCCATTGCTTGGGGCTCCATTAGAGGCGCCAAAGCCGTTACCAAAACCTCCATTTGGGGCTCCGTAACTATTTGAAGGTCGCTTGTCAGCGATGGACAATCCCAGCAGGGCTGTAATGGACGTAAATGCAACTTATAACAGTTTAAAATAGCAATAGTCTTGCAAAATTAACTTGCCATGCCAAAATCAGATTATATCAAGACTTATTACTGCAATGAATTTAAGTTGTATTTACCAACGAATAGGAGAACCTTCATGTTATCGGTCAGCAGAAAGTTGAAGTACAGAGAGAAATATAAAACAGAGTTAACCAGAGAAGGAGCTGCTGGAATATGATGCTGGAGGTCGCTTTTCCAGCTTTTATACCCGGGCGCTCACCAAGCTCCGCCCACTCAAAGTTATCTCCTCCCCTCCCTTCCTTGCCCGCCCTCGCCCACTCTCTCTCGTGATCTGAATTTCGGAAAGTAACTCGGAAGGTCATTCGAAGTAGGTGTGTGCATTACTTTTTCGGCTTCTTTTATATTAATTTATTTTAACCGTTTATGTTAATTTGTTTACCTAACGTTATTATATATTAACAACATATAAATTGTGGCAACATTGCATGATAGAAAACAAAATTATTTAAAAGGTAAATTGCATAATTGCGAGTACTGTTTAGCATTTAACAGTAAAATGAAATTTACAATGTTAGTAAATCTGTTCTAGTCTTTTATACAGATTGAAATTTCTTTTATTTGACATAGTAACAATACAGTGTATATTTAAAAGCATTTTATTCAAACTGAACAATTTTCCGTGCTTGCTAAACTCTGGTTTTCCAGCAGTCACCTGGATAGTTAGTAATGCAACAACACAATACGTGGCTACATGTGGATGCTATAACAAATATTGTGATACCTCAAGTATGCAGTGTAGTATCTAAGACAGATAGTGCGCTGATACTTCTAAGTTGTAATTAAACTTAACATCCTTTGCTGGAATAATATTATAACAATTAAATTTAAGAATTTCTAGTGAGGATTAATATCGTTTAACTAATACGATATTGATATAACATGACAGATAAATGAACTTACCTTTAAGTTGTAATGTTACTGGACGCATGTAAGCTAAAATAATTTAACGTAACCTAACATAATATTTATTTACCAACTATTTATAACAAGGAATATCTGAATATTTTTAACAACTAATATTAATTTAATGATATAACGAGAAATAAATAAATATAATAAAAATAAAATTTATTAAGCTAGTTAATAATATCGTTAACAAATTATCTCATCAAATAAAATGATAATATTTGACAAGATTAGAGCCATAAGATGGTAACGGCCAGTGGTCTAAGGGTTCAAATCCCAACCTCGACAGAACGAACAATTTGGCAGGGTTTCCTTTCATCTCATGCAACTGTTACCTTACCACTAAATATGGACCATAACGTTACAAAGCTGTAGAGGGCTGCACCCTGCGGAAAATCAGTAATTTTCCTAGTAGTTAGATATATATACACCCACACAGCACACACAAGATACAGTCACCCCATGAGGAGTGACTGGGAACCAATCCATAACTCCCCTACCCCCTATTAGTCCAGCAGCAAATGCGGACCTGGAAGTAAACCGATTGGAGGATATAGTTCTAGGGAAAGCTTGTAGGGTAATGCGAACAACTTGTCCTCTCAATGGCTACATTATATTTTGACACATAAATTTCCAACAGCCACAATATATCACAGCGGCTTGCTAAATTGACGGCCTGTCAAGTTTTTTATTCGTGGGTCCTCAGTTAGATTAGGTTAGGGTTTTGCAATTTAGTACATCATTTTTGTAACGTTGTGATGGGTCAAGAGGGCGGGCTGTGCCATGAGCTACGGGAAGGGAAAGCTCTCAGCCTGCTAACTGGAGGCAGAACGCATCTATTACTGTACCCACCGGCGCATAGAAAAAAGTTTTCCCATGAACATAGCAAAACGAGTTATGGTGTTTCCTCAGAGCCTTGTAAATAATTGTTATTATTTTGTTTAAAAAATGCACGTGTAGGTGTATTTGGCAGTTTGAGTCATATGAACTAACTACTGCAGTGAACGAACAATTTATATTGGAGTGTGAGGTTCGACTGAACCTTAAGTGAGGTTCGACTGAACCTTAAGTGAGGTTCGACTGAACCTTAAGTGAGGTTCGACTGAACCTTAAGTGAGGTTCGACTGAACCTTAAGTGAGGTTCGACTGAACCTTAAGTGAGGTTCGACTGAACCTTAAGTGAGGTTCGACTGAACCTTAAGTGAGGTTCGACTGAACCTTAAGTGAGGTTCGACTGAACCTTAAGTGGTGCTGATAAATTTCTCTGCTGCTATGTATGCTTGGCGAGAATATTCAGTTGTTTAAACATGTCTATAAAGAGTGAAAATGATAATTATAATGATGTCAAGGAGGACAAGGTGTTGGTGCCGAGCATGAAGTGGTCGAGGGAGAGGTCCCTCTGTTTTTAACATACTATTCTTAATATTGTATTGTAGACTATATAAAATCTTCATACGTTAGAGCAATAGGTGGTAGGACCAGAGGCAGTAGGTCGCTTTTAATGGCGCAACACAATCTGATGGCGGCTGCAGTTAATACCTGGGCCGCCACTCCCGCTAATCTGCCATTTCACCTTGAACTGCTACTTGGTTGAATATTAAGTGGCTGTCTGACAGCTCCATTGCTTCTCGTGCACGCAACAATGTTATAATTAGTTAATTTGTGTTGGTTTATACTTTATCCATTCGAGCCTAAAGTCATTAGCGCGCCCAGGTAAGGCGCGCTGATGCCTCTCAGGACCTCCCGGCCACTCTTAACTCTGACTTGAATTGTACCTTGTTATATATATATATATATATATATATATATATATATATATATATATATATATATATATATATATATATATATATATTGTATATTCTTATTAGGTACTTATTTACTGCTAGGTGAACAGGAGCATCAGGGTTAAAGAAACTATGTCCATTTGTTTCCGCCTCCGCCGGGAATCGAACCCGGATACTTAGGACTACGACTCCCGAGGGCTGTCCACTCAGCCTCGAGGCCCATTCATAGCCTTGTTTTATATAGTGTGTGTGTGTGTGTACTCACCTATATGTACTCACCTATATGTGCTTGCAGGATCGAGCATTGACTCTTGGATCCCGCCTTTCTAGCTATCGGTTGTTTACAGCAATGACTCCTGTCCCATTTCCCTATCATACCTAGTTTTAAAAGTATGAATAGTATTTGCTTCCACAACCTGTTCCCCAAGTGCATTCCATTTTTCTACTACTCTCACGCTAAAAGAAAACTTCCTAACATCTCTGTGACTCATCTGAGTGTGTGTGTGTGTGTGTGTGTGTGTGTGTGTGTGTGTGTGTGTGTGTGTGTGTGTGTGTGTGTGTGTGTGTGTGTGTGTGTGTGTGTGTGTGTGTGTGTGTGTGTAAATATATTTACACAAGACGGGGTACTCGACGATGGCGGAATGGACCTAGTGATCGGGTTGACCCCAAAAGATGGCACTAATTAAGTGTTGGGCCTATAGGTCACGTGTTTGAGGAATTACACTAGTAATTACACTTGAGGCATTACACTACACCGGTAACTGAGGCTTGCGGGTGGAGGCCACCATCCTGAGCCCCGAGTGGAGCCTCCTGCCAAAGTAAGATAGAATTTTTGTTGACACTTTTGCACACATCAGTACCCGATGCTTTACTATATGGTAAGAAAATAATTTTATTTAGATTTGTATTTCCTTTAGAATGTAAAGATCCGCCTAGTACCAGAGTCGCCAGAAGATTCACTGGGGGTCTCTATGGTACAGCTCCTTGCTGTACTCATTTGATTGCTGCCAACCCCAACCCAATTATGTTACCTTGAGGTTACCTTGAGGTGCTTCCAGGGCTTAGCGTCCCCGCGGCCCGGTCGTCGACCAGGCCTCCTGGTTGCCGGACTGATCAACCAGGCTGTTGGACGCGGCTGCTCGCAGCCTGACGTACGAGTCACAGCCTGGTTGATCAGGTATCCTTTGGAGGATATGTATGTTGAGAACATACATGAAACAATACCAGTAGAAAATTGAATAAGGCAAATCCTAAGCCTCCATCCTGGAATAGACAATCTAATTTATAAACAGAGATATTGAACTTTGTGTATAATTGGTATTTATTGTGTTTTTACTACTCCTTGTTTTTTTATAGATTATTGTGTATGTATGCACATAATTTATTTAATGCTATTGTATTATTTTAGTGGATTTAATGTTTGAACAGTCTTTCACTCTA